GATGTAAATGAACAGACCTAGTAGAGGTCTAGTAGAGAAAAATATGAGGCACCTGTAATAATTTGGAATCACTAAATCTGTAAGATGATAGTAAAACAAACAAACAAACAAAAACCCTTCCCTCACTGTTCTGTGCCCTCTCTCCTAAAATGTCTGCTTACTCTTCTTTCCCAGGCAGATCCTCTCCTTTCCCGCTGGGCCCCCAACCATGAGGACCTCCCAGAAATGACCTGGGGTCACAGGGAATTCCCTTTCCTTCTTCCTGCTGCTCTTGCTGGGAATTATTCCAGCCACCTTCCTGTGGGCCCATCCAGCTGGGGAAGCAGAAAGAAGATGACACTAGAACAGCTCTGTTCCAGTCAGATCCAAACTTGAGCATGGGCAAAGTGAAATTATCAAGAGGTGGCTATAGTGGTGGCATTCTAGAAAAATAAAAGGGTCTGTCAACTTCTCACTTGGCTTCTAAGCTTTCTATCTCACCTCCCTGGGGCCATAAACTATATCTCTACTGTACCAGTTCCTGTGAGCCCTAAACAGAACTTATCTCCACTTCGATCATTGCACATGAAATTGCTCTGTTCCTCCTGAACTTTGAGCTTTGACAGTCTGGGGTAAGGGAGGAAGGGAGGGAGGGAGACTTCACTGATCAAGCACTCTAGGAAGGGTTAGTGACGCAGAGGGTGGTTCCAAACCAGCAGAGAGACATGGAGCTAGACAACTTGTCCCTGAAAAGTCTGGGGCTGGGAGTCCCAATTTGGGCTACAGAGCCCAAATTAGACACTTCAAGGCCAAAATCATAGAGAATGGTCAAAGTCTAAGTTGCTAATTCATGTCTTCTTGTCATTCCCCTCCCCCCACATTCACCACAAATTCCTGGAGGAGGGTTTTGTCTTGTTTGCCTCCTGCACCTGTCCCCGCACCTGGCGCATTGTAGAATCCAGCCTCACTCACCATCTTTCTTTTCCTGCAATTAGCAGAGCTCTTTCTTATTTCTGATCCTCAGCGTAAACTACGAGCATCCGATTTAGAACACTCTCTTTTCAAATGATGGGTTCCTTCTCATCCTTTTGTTCACAGCTTAAATGTTATCTCCTTGAAGAGCCTTACCTCTTTTTAAAGTAAATTACACACACACACACACACACACACACACACACACACACACACACACACACACACACACACACACACACACTATCCTCTATCATAGCATCCTGTTGATTTTCTTCACAGGCTGTACAATATGTTGTAATGGTTTGTTTTTTGAATAGTTCCTCCATTGGACTATATTCTAGGAAGAGAAAATTCAAATCTATCTTGCTCCCCGTTATAGTTCTACCAATTAGCACATCCAAGGCACTCAATAGATAAAGGTGAAAGAACAAAAGTATAAATATATACAATCAGAATTTAATATACCTACCAGAATTTTTAACACTATATTATATGGGAATTTAGCATAAAAAAATGGAATCTTTTTTTTTTCAACGTTTATTTATTTTTGGGACAGAGAGAGACAGAGCATGAACGGGGGAGGGGCAAAGAGAGAGGGAGACACAGAATCGGAAACAGGCTCCAGGCTCTGAGCCATCAGCCCAGAGCCCGACGCGGGGCTTGAACTCACAGACTGCGAGATCGTGACCTGGCTGAAGTCGGACGCTTAACCGACTGCGCCACCCAGGTGCCCCTAAAAAAATGGAATCTTGAAAAAAATAAATAAAGATGGAATCTTGGGCTAGATGAAGAACAATGAATTATTTAATAACTATCTAGGCTTTATTGAATAACCAAAACTAAATCTGAATCCATTCTTTCCTTATTCTACATCAAGTCAATTACAATGGATCAAAGATGTAAGCCTTAAAAAAAGAAGCCATTAAAAAACTTGAAGAAAATGTACAAGAAATTTTGATCATCTCAATGTAGAGATGTTTTTCTAAGCAAGTCAATACATCCATAAAAACTAACGCTTTTTGCACTCACACATATATGCACAAAACACACTCAAACAGAAACAAAAGACGAACAAAAAATTGGGGGGAAATAATTGTTACATTTGACAAAGGCCTAGATCTTATTATAAAATGTTGTTATAAATAAATAACGAAAAGACTTATAACTCAAAATAAAAATAAAGGACATAAGGAGACCACAGAAAAATTCATGCAAATGACTTTTAAGGGAAGTGATATATAATATCAAGAATATCAAAAGAATGTAAATGATCAATGACTAAATTCTGCTCCTGAAAACAGTATTACACTATATGCTAGCTAACTAGAATTTAAGTAAAAATTTACAGAAAAAAAAATTAAAATGATGCTATATAGAAACAAAAAGAATATCAAAAGAAAGGAATGTACATTAAACACTGAGATAACCATTTTTCACCTTTGAAATTAGAAGAAATGAAAAACTCTCATATTTAGTGTGGCCAGTATGTAGAAAAATATGGACACTGGCATATTATTTTAGGGGGATATACATTTTGTCTTTAGAAAGTCAGTCTCTGGGGTGCCTGGGTGGCTCAGTCTGTTGAGCGTCTGACTTCAGTTCAGGTCATGATCTCACAGCTGGTGAGTTCGAGCCCCGCGTTGGGCTCTGTGCTGACAGCTCGGAGCCTGGAGCCTGCTTCGGGTTCTGTGTCTCCCTCTCTCTCTGCCCCTAACCCATTCGCATTCTATGTCTGTCTCTCTCAAAAATAAATAACCATTAAAAAAAAATAAAAATAAAAAAGTCAGTCTCACAAAATAATTAAATTAATTAATTTTAAAAAATGAAGTCAGGCTCATGGGTTAGCTGGACTTTGAGAGTAGTTCAATGTTTCAATACCTGTGCAGAGGACAGCTGGGCAAGATCCGTCAGAATTGTAAATGCATTTACTCTTTGTCCAGCAATTACATCTTTAGATTTTATTCTATAGATAAACACACACACACAGGCAAAGATGTATAAATGAAAATACACAAAAAACCCAAAATGACCTTGAAGAGTGGACTGATGATGTAAGGTTTGGTTCATATTCATAGTAAACTACTATGTGGTCACTGAAAAAGAAATGTGTCCGTGTCATATTATGTCTTTAGTATATGAAGCATACAAGGCATGGAAAAGAATGCATTGTATAAACCCATGTGTTGACAACAAAGCAAAACAAAACCAAACAAAAAAACACAGCCGAAAGAAAGAAAGAAAGAAAGAAAGAAAGAAAGAAAGAAAGAAAGAAAGAAAAAGAAAGAAAGGTAAATAGACAGGCAGACATGGCTGTGTATGCAAACAATTTCTGGAAGGACTCACAAGAAGCCACTGGGAGGAGGGCCTGGGAAGTCAGTAGGTTTACTTTTCACAGTACCTTTTGACACTATTAGAAAAAATACTACCATCTGCACATATTACTTTTTAATTCAAAACCCAGCTAGATTATAAAGATGATGTTAACATAACTCAATGTTGCCCTCAAAAAGATTCTGTGTAAAAGAGATTCTGTGTAATAATAATGGTGATATTAGTAAAACGGTAAGATTTTTCAGTCTTGTTCGGTTAATGCTTTTATTATTACAAGCTATAAAATTTTAAATAAACACCCAAAATAAACAAATTATGACCCTTTCAATAATCCAGAAGTGAGACAGGTTTAGCCCTTTAGTCGAAAAGCAGCTCTCTATTCAACTTAAAAAGCCCATACTTGATGTATTAATAAATATTTTATTTTAAAAAGATGGTCTACAAAGTAGCTTGGGAAGCTTAATCTCATTTGTAGCTCTCACCACTCCCTACCCATCCCCAATAATGTATTCAAATTCAATGCCAAAAGTTACTTATTAAACACAAGAGATATTACGCCCTGGGAAAACTATTATAAACTTGGCCTGAAGGAGACCTGATCTCTTAATGAAATACAGAACAACTATCTTAGAAAAACGAAAATGGGCAATCGTCATGTAAGTATTTATTGCCTTTGGGAATCAAACAAAGTTTTCATTTTAGTTAGCATGTGGAGAAATTTAAACTATGAAATCATGATTAATAATTTTGCACTATACCATTGTGATTACTCCTTACTATTGGTTTTCACAACAGCATACCATGCTTTTAAAATGCATTTGGAATGTATTTTTTTCTCCATTGGTCAAAAATCTCTTAGGAGAGGCTAAAGAGAAGTATTTAAAACAAGATAGTAAACAGTGCCCCACAGAGAGCAAATGGTTAATACGTGTTTGTGGAATGTATGATTAAAGCTGTTAGTTATAGCAAAGTTGCATAAAATCTGGTAGGCTCTGCCCATAAGGGTTTTGTGGGGAAGACAGGTTCATGTTACAAATATCCGTAAACCAAGGCAAAAGTACTCCTATGAGGCCAAGGCCATATAACTTGGACTGAAAAGTGAAAATATTATTTCTAAGCAGTATTAGTTCTAAGCAGCATCAAATAATCAGATATTTGCAGATATCCAAGGAATGGACTTAACATTTAGGTTTTTATTCTGAAATGTCTACGCTCATGTGAATACTGTGTCTATAAACTATTAATGACTAAAAATTTGAAACCAACGACACACAAGGCAGGTCTGAGTTAAATTGCGATTTTTTTTTACATTGAAAAATGTATATCTAAAACTGTTGCAATAAAAATTTTCATAAGGTTTTACTGCACCAACTGTAGCTTCCCCTGGCAAGAAATGACTTATTGTATGTAAACTAGAAGCAAAGACAAAAAAATTCAAAAATGTTCTGTAAACTATCGCTTTGTTTATGAAGGTTTTTTTCCCTTTGCTATAAACTAAATTTGCACTCAATGGTTGCAAGCCTACAAATATCTTCTTTGGGGAGGTGTTATATTTAAAATCTTCTGTAGATAACATTTTCTTGCCGGTCAAGATTATGAGCCTTACATTCAGTATATCTTTCAGAGAAACTGAAGCCTACTTTTTTTTTAAGTTTATTTATTTATTTTGAGAGAGGCTAAGACAGCGTGAGTGGGAGAGAGGCAGAGAGAGGGAGACAGAATCCCAAGCAGGCTCTGCACTGTCAGCAGGAGCCCAATGCAGGGCTCGAACTCGTGAAACCGTGAGATGGTGGCCTAAGCTGAAACTGAGAGTCGGGCGCTTAACCAACTGAGCTACCCAGCTGCCCCTGAAGCCTACTTTTAAGATATTGCTGAGGGCCTCAGGAATAAGTGGTCCCTGCCATAGCAGTTCAGGAGGACATTTTCATCTTTTGAATGTCAACCCCATGGGGCCTCTGGCTTGTGTGAGTGGTCTAGCATTTTTATGTATCTCTTTTTTGAATCTTCAGAGCCAGTCTTACTCCCTCTCAGAAGGTAGTCAACATTTGCCCAAAGGGGACATCCAACCCTCGGCAGCCGTGAAGCCTCTCAGCCACGCACCAGGGAATGGAGAGCCAGAGGCCCAACAGCCTGTAAGCACTGATTTTCCCTCCAAATCATAGGTATGACTGGGCTCTCTCGTGGGCCCAGTATTATTCACCAATGACTTGTCACAGTGGGTCCTCCACAATCCTCTGGCCTGAAAATGTCATCATCAGGCATTACTTCCAAGCAAAGAAATCTTTCCCCACACAAACAAATGTCTGTTTCAATGTTTGTAGCTAATGTAAAAATGTAATCTAGGAGCTCAGTTTCCATTCCCATCGGTGTCCCCTTAACAGTGCCTTACAATGGAGAGCATGGCCAGTAGGACATTTTAGAAAATACTAATGGAATTTAACATTGCACAAGGAATGAATATGTTCTAAGACTGTGTTTCAAAATAAGTAAATGCAAAACCTTTTTGGACAGAAAACTGTCCTGGTAATGACTTGAATTACTCGTATTAGAAAGTTACTTGAACATGTACAAGCTTCAAACTACAATGCTGGTAGTTTTGAAGCAGTTACATAACCAAAACAAATATATAAAATTAAATACTAGTAAAATACAAGTTGCTAATGTGCAAATAAATGCATGTTATTGATTTAGCATAATAGACCATGTTATTTTGCCGGGATTAAATGACTACACTCAATGTTAAAATGGTCCTGATGGCTATAATGTGGTTTCTTCTGTGTTGCAGCATGTCTAAAATATGATGTGGTGCACGATTTCTTAGTTCTACTATTATGTTTCTCTATCCAAAACTGAGCAACTTTTGTTTGTAAGACTCCCTATAAAACAATCGGGCCTTCTCTTGGCTAAAATGTGTGATTTTTGTATTAAACCTCCCTCTGTTCTCTGTTCTTTTATCATTCGCTTGCAACAATTAAAATATGGCTATTCGGCATATACACATTCATAAATAGAAACACAAATGCAGGCGTTGAAATCATGTGCTAGCCTTGGTCATCCTAATGACTCAGTATGCTTTATATTTAGTTTTTAAGTTATTACTAGCAGTAAATACATATTTTAAAAGCCTACTAGGAAAGTTACAAAGTCCCAAGGATATGTCCACAGACCAGGATGCACAGACAGATGCTTGACAAACAATACTCCAAAGCCAGTAGGATATTGGCCAGGAAATTACATTTTCCAAGGTGCTGTGATACAGAGGGCTTCCTAGCCAATTCTGAGAATTGAAAATTTACTTTTTTGTTTTGCGCTTCCCCCCAATCCCTTTGCCATCATTAATGATTCTTTTCAACTGAAGACATCGTGTTTGTGACTAACCTATTTGGAGCAGTAATAATCGCGATTACTATCATTTGCTAATCAAGCAATATTCAAAGAGTTTGCTTAGCCTAGAGGACATGACCTTGTGCTCAGTGAGCTTTGTGCATAGACAGAAAAATAAGATCGACAGGAAAATCTGCTCAGATTTAGCCAGATGACTCTTCTCTTGTGTGGGTTGTTTTCAGAAGAATCGTTATCTGGAGGAAAATAGAAAATTGAAATCAATAGTGAAATCCCTTCGCCATTGGAGTGTGGCTGTGGCGTATGGGCAGAGCAATAGGGAGGGAGCTATGGACAAACTCAAGAGGACAAATAATTTCTGGAAAATTATTTTCAAGGCACTAGGCACGACTTGCCTTGCTACTCCAAGTGTGGTCTCTGGACTAGTAGTAGCATCTACATGGCCTGGGTGCTTGTTAGAAATGCAGAACCCAAAGCTCCTGAAGACCTACCGAATCAGATCTGTGTTTTAGCAAGATCGTCAAGTGATTCTTATGCACAGTACAGTCTGAGAAGCACTAAACTGGGGAATGAGTGCTCACAGTTGGCCGCACATTGGAATCACCGGGGGAGTTTTAAAAAACACTGAATCCTGAGTTCTACCCCCAGAGAGTCTGAATTACTTGGTCTGGTGGTTGGTCTGGGCACTGGGATTTGCAAATGCTCCCCAGGTGGTTCCAAATGTGCAGCTGTGTTTGAGAAACGCGGAACTGGAGCATAACACTATTCTTACAAGAACAGATCAGCATACCGCCAATGAAAGCAGGTGTCATTATAAATGTCCATAAGTGAAAACCAACTTGTAAATGTTAGAACATCTGCTCAGCGATCTGCCACAGTGTTTGTGAGCATGCCACATTTTATGACTTGCTTGTGCCAATATTTAGCCAATGTAAATATTGTCTAAAATGGAAAACAGTTTGGGACTTGGAGCAGATGAACAGGCAAGCTCCGAGGCAGGTGGATTAGGAACACCCAGGAGCCACACACAAGGTGGGAATAAGTCCAGATGCCTGGGAAAAGAAGGTAGGCCCTGGAGGGAAGTAAAAATGTGACTGGGAGTTTGGGATAAAGTAAGTATGGCTTTAACCGAGAGTGTGCACTGAAGTGTGATTCTCAAACCCTAAAGAAACCACGAAAGAAACTGAGACCACATAGTCCTACCTCTCCTATCAGGAAATCATTTATCCCCCCAAATTAGTCCTGAACACCACCGTGGGTATAGAAGGAAACAAAAAGGGCCTCTGATGTCAAAACAGGACATGCACTAAAGCATACCTTCTTCCTTTAAAAACAAGCCTCCCACTCAAAGTTGGCTGCATTTGAGACACAATCACGCACAATGTTGGCTTTAGGGGTTTCTTGTCTCTGGAAGATAAAAAGCAGTCATTTGAAAGTCATTTAAATTTTTTTTAACGTTTATTTATTTTTGAGACAGAGAGAGACAGAGCATGAATGGGGGAGGGGCAGAGAGAGAGGGAGACACAGAATCTGAAACAGGCTCCAGGCTCTGAGCTGTCAGCACAGAGCCCGACGCGGGGCTCGAACTCACGAACTCTAAGATCATGACCTGAGCCGAAGTCGGACGCTTAACCGACTGAGCCACCCAGGCGCCCCCATTTTAAAGTCATTTAAACGTGGGGGGAAAGTTTGCCAAGGACAAATATACCAATGGAAGGAAGAACGTGCAAACTGAAAAACTGACACAAGAGCTTTAACACTGTAGGAGCCTGGGCGGGGCGGTTGGCCACTTGGTGTAGGGGATGGAATCTGGCAGATGCTTGCCCTGCTGTACAGCAGCCAGAACTCAAATTCCCAGTGATGGTGGGCATAACTGGAGGCTTCAAGGGGGCCTTCTGGAAGGATGATGAGGATAACTGACATTTCTCAAGTGCTTGCTAGACTGTGAGCTGCTCTGGGGGCCCGGGCTGTGTGCATGAACTCTGAGCCCTTCACTCTACCAAGTCCCCCACGTACACGTGTCCTTTTGGTCCTTTGGTCCACACAACTCTGTGAGGGAGACAGGATTATTATCCCCTTTGCAATCTGGGGAAAGTGAAGCACGGAGAGATGAGGTAATTTGACCAAGGAGAGGTGAAGCATGCATTTGGATTTAGGTAGAAATTCTTCACATTATACCAACTAGATGCTAACCTACTGGGATTTCTAAATCTGTTGAAGTGGAACATTATCTCCTCTTTACCCCCGATCCTGAGCTTCCTCCTCTTCCCCTAGATCTGATGCTCCTCTTTAGTGTTTCCATGCTACTCTGTGTACAATGTCATCACTCCCCTCCCACAGGATTTTAGAACTAGCTGTTCACACATCTTCCCCAGACTGGACTGATGGCTCACTGGGGCTAGGATGGTGTCTTGTTCATCTCTGTATCCCCATTACTGACACAAACCCTGGCACGTAGCAAATGCTCAATAAACGTGTGATCAACTCATCAGTTCATTATGTTTTATGGGAAAGGCTTACTCAAACCAATGTTTTACTCATTTGGAGCCCAAATCCCTATGACCAGTTACACCCCCCACCCCGACCAATGTGTGAGTAAGGTTCTCCTGTATCTGTACTTTTTAAAAACTCCACAACTGATTTCTAATGTACCCAAAGTTGAGAACCATGGGTCTTATGTCATGTGTTCCTCTAGTGCAGGGATGTGCCCAAATGTGGCCCCCAGGCCATCACTGGAATAACCTAGGATCCGTTAGGAATGCAAATTATTGGGCCCCACTCCACATCTATGGAATCAGAACCTCTGGGGTGAAGGCCCAGCAACTGCACCTGAACAAGCCTTCCGGGTGATTCTGATGTACACTCAAGTTTGAAAATCAGTGTTGAGGGGCACCTGGGTGGCTCAATCAGTTACGCATCTGACTCTTGATTTTGGCTCAGGTCATATCTCACAGCTCATGAGATCGAGCCCCACATTGGGCTCTGTGCTGATAGTGTGGGGCCTGCTAGGGACTCTCTCTCTCTCTCTCTCTGCCCCTCCCCCGCTCCTCGCTCCTTCTCAAAATAAATACATAAACTTTGGGGAAAAAAAGAAAGAAAGAAAGAAAATCAACTTTGAAGCAAAAGCCTCTCACAGGCATAGGCTGGAGCTGTGCCCCAGCTTTGACTGAACCATTCCCATCACTCAGCCTGCAGAGATGCCCGGATGATGGCTTTTAAAGCCTACTTAGTCCCACACCCTCCTCCAGGGCCTTTGACACCAAAAGCAGTCCAGGGAACTGCCCCATTCTGCCCCTTCCACTGACCCCAGGCTGCAGTCTCTCCCACAACTCATCCTAGCGCTGCATGGAGAAAAGTAAGCTCGAGTCCCTCTGCCAACCGAGGAAGGAAATCACTCTTCATCCTCGTTATCAGTTCAACACATTTTTTTAAAAGAAACTCCCATGAGCCAGGTGCTGTTTGAGGCACCACTGATAAAAAGAGGAATAAAAGAGCACAGTCCATGCCCTCTGAATGGCTCACAGTCTAGCAAGGGAGGCAAACAAGTAAACAGTTACAACGATGTGCAACGAATGCACTAATAGAAACACGTCCAAAACTTAGGGGAGAGAGTGATTCTGTGTGGGAGGAAGGAGTGGGAGAGGCTTCCTAAGGTGCAGAAGGGCAATCTTTACGGTGCCAGAGTACGTGCAGAGAGGTACAAGAAGGCTCTTGCCCTGCAGAGCACTGAATCCGTCAAACATCACCTGCCTGTGCAGCTGCTAGCCCCTCCCCCTGGCCGGGAGCTTCT